ATTGCGGTTAATGACGGCCCATTTACCATTGCTTTTTATACCAGACAGATCACTTTTAAACCCGTAAAAAATCACATCCTCATAGATGATCGGGATAACCGCTTTACCTGTGTTATCGAGATAACCCCATTTTTCACCCTGCTTCACCGCTACAAGACCATTCGAAAAATCCCTGGCTTCATCATACTTCATCGCGATCGCTGTACCTCCTGAAGTATTGATAAAACCCCATTTCTTTTGTTTATATACTGCCGCGAAACCTTCGGAAAAATGATTAATCGCATCATAGGTCAACCCAATTACTGCCTGGCCCGAATTGTTAAGGAAACCGCACTTGCTGTTTTTACAGGCCTCGATCAACCCGTTATAAAAGTCTTCTCCTAACCTGTCATACACCACTGGAACAACCTCTTTACCCGACTGGTCGATAAGACCATACTTCCAGCCATCTTTCAATAAGCCGACTTTAGCGAGGCCATTTTTAAAAAACAAACTGGCACTATTATACTTTGCGGGTATTATTATTTTACCACTATTATCGCGATAACCATGTAAACCATTGTTATCCTCATACGGGCGAAGATCGATAGCATAAATAGCGGGACAAAGGAGCAGCGAAAGAATAAAAAGTCGGATCGTTTTCATAAATACGGGTGGTTGATAATCGGCACAAAATAATACGTAAAGTGCTATTTTTCAACATAAGCAAAAAAATACTCATGTGATATACGACATTCCTAACGATTCCTTTCCCGCAAAATTATTTCACGCAAAGGCGCCGAGGATCGCAAAGGCGCGAAGGAATTTCATGCAATAACTCACCGTTCAAAGAATTTTGATTAAGCTAGTGTGGTGGGTGAAGACATGCGCTATGGCCCTTGCGTCGCTGCATCACCGCGTCGCCGCGTTGCGTGAAATCCTTGGCGCCTTTGCGTTCACTTTGCGCCTTTGCGTGAAACCTTTGCGGGAAGTGTTCTGCGGGAAATTTACTTCTTCACCCGGTCCACCGGGAAATGGATATGAAACGTCGATCCAACACCCGGTTCGCTTTCTACACTGATCTTTCCAAAATGCGCTTCCATAATCTCGCGGGAGATATACAATCCGAG